CCCAGTCCCACAAAAAAAATTGAAAAAAAAAGAAAAGCAACACCTTCCTAGGTTAGTGATTTCTCAAACCTAGATCTGGCAATTGGAAAGAGGTACACAGTAGGCTTCAAGTAACCCAAAGACTAGGAACCAACACTTTCATTTTGCCAGTGTAGGCTCTTCTACTGCCAACCTGACCAATTAAGACAACAATGAGGTGACAAGAGGGGACAAAAGAATCCCATGACAGCTCCGAAGACAGGTTCAACTTTTTTAATCAAGTAGTTTACAATTTTTTTTTTAATCTTTCTAAAATAAAATTCCTTTGCTGGCAGAATTCTGCCTGGACTTTGCGATTGCCCCCAAATTAAACAAACAAGTTTATCGCTAACTATCAACTAGGAATGCTCTAAGCCTAGGCCAAGGGACCATAAAGAAAATTGAGTACCTTACACACAAAGAGTGAAATTAAGGGTTAATAATTCTCTTTTTTATCAGCTTATAAATGAAACAATCAAACCCTGGCTTTAATAGAGAATACTAATTAACACTTTTCAAAGGCAAATCTCTATTCATTTTGCTCTTTAAACGACTTGGATTGCATGTTTAAAGTCATATCCTATCATCATGGGAAGAGAAATTTTCCCAGTGGGGGTGGGGAAAAGAATCTTTAGCTGACTCATTTATTTCCAGTATCATTTTAAAAGTCCTAAGATTACAACTAGACAGCTATGTTCCTGGCTCTGAGTGTACCCATTTACCACTGATAAAGTCAAATTGATGTAACTACCCACTCAAAGACTACAACAAATAAAGTATGCGTCCGCTTTGCTTAACAAAGACAACTGTGACCTAGAACTCCAAGCACTAATCCAAACTCCTAACAAGTTTTTCTACAGTCCTAATAAATCTGTCTTTTAAAAAAGTTACTGAGGCTACACATGGTAGCATACACCTGTAATCCCAGCACTGGGGAGACTGAGACAGAAGGATTATGGGTTCAGTCACCCTTGGCTACATAGTGAGACCCTACACCTCAAAAAAAAATTTTTTTTAAGCAGTTGTGAGTGCAAGGGTTCTTTTGGGGGAATGAAAATGTTCTAAAATGGGCTCTAATGATGGTTGCACAGCTGTGTAAACACACTGAAAACCTCTGATTGCACACTATAAATTGGTGCATTAGAAGGCATATGACTTTTATTTAGCACTTATAAAGCTATTTTTAAGTAGCTATATATTCTTCCTTCACAAGGATGTTCCTACTGATAAGCCTCTTCTCCAAATGTTAAAGATTTAAAGTGGCCAAAGAAAAACTAGAGAAAGATTCCATGACACTAAAAGTAAGAGTAAGGCCAAAGTCAAACCTGAAATTAGGGAGACTGCTACGCTGGATCGGCATAGCTGAGCTCCATGTCATTTTAATACTTCTACCAGATAAATGACTGTGTATTTAAGTCCCTCCCTATTCTCTAGGGGTGGAACCAGTAAGCACACTCAAAGAGGCTGACAGGTAGGCTGGCATTGGTGGCTCCGCCTGTAGTCCTAGCTACTCCAGAGAATCAAGGTTCAAGGCCAGGTGGAGCAAAATAGTTCTCCAGACCCTATCTTGAAAATATCCACCACAAAAAATGACTGGCTGAGTAGCTCAGATGGCAGAGTGACTGCCTATCAAGTGTGAGGCCCTAAGTTCAAAACCCATACTGCAAAAAAAAAAAAAAAGCTGTTGACTGTATTAAAACAGTTTTACACTTTGGCTGTAAGGATGAACGGAGCAAACAGTGACCACAGGAAGTTAAAGCTGAAAAAAAAAAAAATGTGTCCACTGTACCATCGAGGGGATTTGGTTTCAATCTCTCACTTCTGGATATCGCTAAGGAAGAGTGTTTTGCAATCTGCCTACCTGTGGCCAAAAGTTAAGATGTTTAAGGGAAGATAGCTGTTAAAGCCATCAAATATGTTCCTATCAAACCCGGGAGGTTCAAAAAAGTCATTACTAAGCAGGAATTATTTTTCTTTTTTTTTTTTTTTGCCTACTAAGTTACAACCCTAAAATTAATCATTTCCAAATACCACAAAGTAATAGAGAAAATACCATTTGTTTGTAAACAACTAAATACATCAAGACAGAAATTAAAATTTGCATTTTAAGGTATCAAAACTAGAAAATAGATTAAAGTTTACAAAGGTCTCTGCTCAGAAAATGAGCCTGCTTATCCTATATACTTGATGTAATTTGAAACAAAGATTACTCCCTTTAAACTTGGGATTTGCATATAGCCTTTTATCACATTTACCTTGCTGTATTTTCATAAATCCCTTTTGCACCCAAAGTCATGCAAACATCCGAAGTTTTCATAAGCCAAGAAAGCAGCTATAAACTGAAGCTATGAAAGTACTATTAACTAAAGATACAAAGGTAAGAACAAAAGGAAACAAATGCTTTCATTCTCCCCCTGACCTACTAACAAGTAAAATACCAAAAACCCTAATTCTCCTTTTAATGTAGCCACTGGTGTTCCAAAAATCATCTAGAAACAGGTATTATGCAGCTATCACACCATGGAAAATATTTCATACTTCTTAAAGGTTTTTTTCCCCCCCTATATTTCAACTCTCTGAAACCACTTGTTCACAGTTAGCTTTGCTAAAACAAAACAGTTTCTAAAACAAAGACTGTTTACATCTCCTAAGAGAAGCCTTTGTTCCAAGACCCCTCTCCTCAAGAGCTACAACTTCTGGAAAGATCTCCCTTTTTGTGGTTATATCAACAGCAAATACTCCCAAACTCTTTCCATTTGGCACAGGAGTTTGTAAGACAAAGGAGGAAGCAAGCCCCTCCACACAAAGGAGGTCTCCAAAACAGATCACTTGGTTATGTTTGAGATTATTTGTTCCTCTTTACCCCCTTCCTCGGGCTGTAGTACATAGTCTCTCAATACAAAATGGTGGCCATCATGTCTGTCTGACATTCAGAGTGGGAAAAGGCAATACAAACGCGTATTTTGCAAAGACTGCTATTAATCTGCTGGCCCAGAAGAGGAAATGGGTGGCCCAAACTAACTAGAGCCATACTATCTTTTGGGAAACGGGTCTCTATAAGAGGCAAAGCAAGCAAGATAAAGGATATACCCTAATATACCACAATACCAACATGGAGGACAACTCCCAGGAACCTAACTCCTCACATTCTGGTTACCTAGAACTTACTCGAGTGGTCTAATTTCCGAATAAAATCCCATGAATACAAATGTCCAATATTCATACTCATCCTTCCTAGCACCTAACAGAAGGAGGAAACTGCTAGATGTCTGAAACGCGACCTATTCCTGGGCTCTAACCAGCCCGGGGTGTAACTTCTGCAGGCCACTGGACTCTCAGAGAAATGTACTTCTTCCCTAAGCAACAATAATCCACCTCGGCCACTCCACCGCGAGAAATGGATCTGCTTCGCACACCTCCCCCATACTAGCTGGCCGGTTATTTTCTGAGACACTGCTTCATCTCCATCTTCAAACTTATCCAAGAAAAACTAAAGTATGGCGTCCGTGTTTTTTAATTTTGGGGGTGGGGAAGTAGGGAAGGGGCTGGGATAAGGAAGGTTTTTTTCAGGGATCTCCCTCAAAACAGCTTTTCCAAAGCAGAATGATTACACACACAACCCCTGCAACTTCAAATGTCATTACAAACAGCAAGTTTAAGGGAGGAAGGGGCCGGTGGGGGGGAGGGGAGGAACCTTGCCCCTTTTGGGGGAGGGGGCGGGGGAGACAATTCTCCAACAGGGGGAAAGGCAGTTAAACCTCCTCCCAACCGTCCCTGCCCGGCCAACCGTCGTCCAGGCCAACTCCGCTCAGACCATCCCGAAAGGTGGGCTTAAAGCAGGGGTGCCGCAGCGCATCCAGCGCCGGTTGGGGGCGGGGGCCGGGGCAGGAGTTGGCCGGCTGTCCCCAGCGAACGTTGGGGGCCGTTGGGGACCGTTTCACAAGCTTCCACCCCTGGCTCACAGCCCCCGGGCCCCAGGGCTGAGAGGGTGGCTGTATTTCAGCCCGGGGAGGCTGGGGACCGGGGAAAGTGGGAGGCAATTTGCAGGGGGGTGGGAGGGTCCAGTCGCCTGACATCTCCCCCTACACCACGTCCCCACCACCACAACTGGGCTTCCCTGGGGAGCCGCCGGGCCCGGCCAGAAGTCGGAGTGGCAGCGCTGGCGAGCGCAGGCGGGCACCGGGGCCCACCGCCGCCGCCGCCGCCGCCGGTCCTGCCCCCATCATCCCAAAAGTGTCCCCCCAGACCCTTGCGCCCCCCGCAACACATCCGCTCCAGGCCTGAGACCCGCGGCTCCTCCCCGCCCCCGGGCAGCGCCGGCCGCCCCCTCCTCGACCCCGGCCCGGGGGACACCTGGAGGCCAAGGGAGCAAGGGGTGAGGGGTGCCCTGGTCTGGAGGGTGGGGCGCCCAGGTGAGGGCCGCTCCGGGCCGACGCCGCCACCACACAAAGGACCAGGGGCTCCCGCCGCCATATTGAAAACTTTCCTCTTCGCACGACAACTCGCAAGTCCCCCACCCCCACCCCATCACACACCCCCGCACCCCGGGGAAGGAGGCGAGGACCAGTCTGCCGCGGCCGGCGGCCCACGGCCCTCCTTCCCCGTCCGCGCCTCCGCCGGGCTCCCGAGGAAACTCCCCCGCGACCGGCCCGGCCCCTGCCACCGCTCCAACCGGAACCGAACCCGAACCCCAGGGTCGGGCCGCGCACCCGTCCGCCGGAGCCCCGCCGCGACCCGGCCCTGGCGTGGCACCGCCAAAGCCCCGCTGTCCCAGGGCTCCTAGGGTCCCACCCGGGAGGAGCCCTCCGCCTTCCTCCCGCCGCCTCAACTCCGACCCCTCTGGACAGCCCCAAAGTTGACGAGGCCTGCGGGGCGACCGCTCCCCGCCCCCCGCGCCTCGGGCCTCGGGCCTCCGGCCCCGCGCGTCCTCGCTCCCACCTCCCCCGGCCGCGAGCAGGATCCGGGGTGCAGTCGTGACTCACCGGCGGCGGCCGCACCTTACAGATCCCAGTCTGCTCGGCTATGGGCCGGATCTTGTGGATGAAAGCGAAGGGGTCCGCGAACTCTTCCCAGCTGGGCTCGAAGACCGGACACTCGGGGGGAGGCAGGAACTCGCCCAGCGGGCCCGGGCCCCCGAGAGGCAGCGCCGGGCGCGGGCCCGGGGGCAGCGCGGTGGCTGGCTCCATCACCGAGGGTCGGGCAGGGGCGGGGGGCAGGGTGGGCTCCGGGACCGCGGCTGCGAGCTCCACTCGGTCCCAGACCTCGGCAGACGCGCGGCTCGGGCGACAAGTCCGACTTCTACTAGCAACGGCAGCACCTTGGGCTTTTTCAGCCTTCCGACGACGACGTCTTGCCTCTGCCCCACGCCGTGCGCCTCCGCCGCCACGGCGAGGAAAAAGAGTCCCACCCCCACCCCCACCCCCGCGCCGAGCTCCCCGCCCCGCCCCCTCATCGGGAGGGGCCGGGGCCTTCTGCGTGGGGATGGAGTTAGCTTTATGGTTCAGTCGCGCCAATATTTATTGACCATTGTAACGCCAAGAGTTCCTGCCCTCAAGAAGTTAATAATCTTGGTGGAGAGAATGAGACCTGTAAGGTGATCATTCATTCATGTCCGTACACTGTGCCAAGATTGAAGTGTACACTTAGAAAACCCAGGAGGGACAGAAAGGGTGTTGGAACTACAGGTAGAGGGAACAACTTGAACTTCAGAACAGCATGGGTGTGAGAAGCGATAGTGGTGATAACAGTAATAACACTTTGAAGCACTTGCATATCCTAGACGTTGAACTAAGTGCTTTGCATGATTAATCAGCCTGCACCACAACCTGGTGAGGCAAGTACTCTTATTCCCATGTCACAAATAAGGAAGATGAAGTTTGACCAAATCAATGTGACTTCTAAGTGATGGAAATTGGGAGAAAGGGAGTGTTGCAAGAAAAAGTCATGCACAGCCATAGGCCAGGTTGAATTTGAGAGAAGTAAAAGACTCTTGAAATAATCCAGCTGAGAAATGATGGGCCTAAATGAAGACCCATCATTATGTAGGAAATAAAATTAGGACAGAGGGACAAACTGGGATGGAGGTACTAAGCATGATTCAAGTGTGCAGATGGATGCTGACCCACTGGCATTGTTGGAAACTTCACTCAGATTATACTAGACAGAAGACACAGTTTTAGGAAAGAAGATAATGTGTTCACTTCTGGACATGTTGAGTTGAGGTGTCTCTGGAACATCCAGGTAGAGATACCCAACAGTCTGAAGGGGGAGATCAGAACTGGGTGATAGCCATTATTTATGTAATGTTCTTGTGTGTGCAGGGTTCTAAACACTTGGTGTACATTAGCTCACTGAGTTAGAGCAGGACCAGGTAGGTACTGCATTATCCCCATTTTGAAGAGCAAGTAATGGAGGTACAGAGAGGTTAAGTAACTAAGAAATATGAACACTTTTGAAGCACTTTTTTTAATGGGAAAAGAGAATGTCTAGCCCCAGAAAAGACAAGGAAGTTCAAAAAGTACAACTTCAACACTGAAATGACCTCTTTTATCCTAAAGGCAGCCAAACCCATGGAAGGACTGTTTGCCAGGGCCTCTGTAAGGAGGGGTCAGTGGCACCCAAACCCTGCTTTCAGATTTACCCAGAGGAATGAAGTCTCTTCTCCTTAAGGATAGGAAGGGAGGGATGGAGGGAGGGAGGGAGGGAGGAAGGAAGGAAGAAAGGAAGGAGAAAAAGAAAAGGAAAGAAGGAAGGAAGGATAGAGAGAAAGAGAAACTCCTCTTTAATAAACTTCCCAGAGGTACTTGGCCTTCAAAAGAGTTTGGAGCAGTCCTTGGAGAAGGTACACCTTTTCTTAGCTCTCTAGGGCTTTGGAACCTGGATAAACCTTTTCCTGCAAGCAGAGGGACAGGTGGCATCCTATTAGAGGAAAAAAATCTTCAGTGTAAGAGAACGAGATTCAGCAAGTCATTTGTAGCGGTAGAATCTAGCTAGCCTGTATAGAATTTGCTTTCAATTATTTTAATTTTACTGAATTTTTGAAAATTTTTTCATAATAGTATTCCAAAGAGAAATCTTTGTCGCTCTTGCCCTGAGCGTTGTGTGCATTGGAGGGTCTTGCTGGACTTGATTTCCTGTCATGTGCTCTCTTGGAGAGCAGTATTTTCACCCTTGATGGTGACATCTTACAAGCAGGGAGAAGAACTCTAGACATACATGAACCGTGACTATTATTTAACTGAAGGGCACAGAGGAACAAGCCTAAGAAAATATTTCTCAATTCTCAACTGTGTGCTAAGACTCCCGCTCGCTCCCAACTCTCAAGGTCTCGCAGTCCTGTTTCCTCCATTTCCGGTAGTGACTCTAAGTGATGAGATACTATTGCTCCCAGGTCAGGCAGCAGCTGTTAGGCTCCGCACAGATCCGAGGTAACGTCCAGGGAGGGAGCCGTTGCCAGGCTGGCGAGGGAAACCTGGGGACCAAGAGGTCTCTCTGGGAAGGCGACGACTCCCCCGCCCGCAGAAGACGCTTCCCCTTGCCCTTTATGATGTGTGTTTACATGGGCGGAGGGATCCCTCTCCAGCTGACAGCCACACCGCGGCCGGCTCTTCTTTTTTTAAAGAGCCTAGCCGCACGCGGTGATTGGCCGCGGCCCGGGCCGCATCAGCCTCCGGGGGCGGGGCCCGGGCCGCATTGTCTTGTCTGGGGCCGGCTGGACGCCCCAGAGGCCGGACTTGGACAACCCCGGCCAGGAGGTGCCGCGGCCACGGCTCCCGGAGGGCTGGGAGCGAGGCCTGGGCGGGGCCAGGTCCAGGTTCCCGAGGGAAAGCGGGGCTGCAGCCCAGGCGGCCTGAGCGGAACCAAGCCCCGCTCCGAGTGCCACGTCTCCAGGAACCCCCTCCTTACTCTTGGACAACACTCCGCCCCCGCCCGGGCCTCCGTCCCCCCAACCACCTCCATTTGTCCATTTCTAGGGATCGCCATCGTCATCCCGCCAACTCAGCCCCTACACCTCATGCCCCCAGCCCCGCACCCCCGATCTGCAGCTTTCGCCCCCAATTCGCCCGCCGGCTGATGAGGCGCTCCCTGCACTCCTTCCGGTCGCCGTGATGGGAAGACCACGCTCCTGGATCCCAAACTAAGGGAATGACTTTCTCCTCCCTCCCGGTCCTCCAGCGGCATAGCCCCGAGACCGAGCCACGGAACGAGGGGGGGCAGGTCCGGCTCCCTAGCGGCCGGGGAGGGGGCGGCGGCGGCGCAGCACGTAGCGCACGTGTAGGACCCGCTCCCCACCCCCTCGCGCCCCCTCGTGCCGCCTCGGAAGACTTTGCAGGGCTCCCGGTGTCGCCCGCACTCTTCCCTTCCTTCCGCCCTGACTTAGGATCTGTGCCCCCGCCTTGCGCCGCGTCCCTTCTTTTTCCCAGCACTGTTGATCGCCAGTTCAATGCCAGCATCTCAACTCACCACCTCTGCTGCCCTGGAATATTTGGTGTTAGCTATCCCATGAGGAAACCCAAAAACCATGGGATTTGTCTCCCTGAATTATTTTGTGTATTCCCACAACGTCTTGTTATCCTTTCACTCCATACTTATTCCTCGGTGTTTGTCTTTTTTCCGCCAGTGTCCCTGCCTCTCCACCTATCCCCACCCCACCCTGATGGTAAGCCGCTAGAGGGAAAGAAGTATAATCTCTGTCTCTAGCACCAGGCACGTGGTAGACGCTTCACAAGTATTTGTTGAAACCGAGGGGAAATGGCCTTGAGTTTGTGTGGCTCCACTTGGCTGAGGATGGAGCTTTGGGCTGGACAAGGAGAAGAATGTGCTTGCCCACACGAGGCAGAAAGGAATCTCACAACAGATCGGAGGTAGGGTGGTGGGAGAGCCCACACAGTGGGTGAACGCCACAACTGAGATAAACCCGTCCTCTCCCATCTGGAACCAGCGCCCCCTCCTCCTCTGCGCTCATCCTCAGTTGGACTAGTCTCTTCTGTGAGACTTATGTCTTCCCTGTTCTAATCCACCCAGGGCTGCAGCTCACATCACTGGGCTTCTGTGTCTTGGGAAGCTAGGTCTGGGTGTTGGGGAGGTAACTAAATGTGTCTTCTCTTCACCATCTCCTCTTCCTACCTCCCCCCTCCTCGCATCACCCTCCTCTCCCCACACCACCACCCACGCACACAGTGCTGGGAATGGAACCCAGGGCTTCCAGTGAGCTCTACCAGAGCTACACACTCAGCCCCTTCTTCAGTCCTACAATCTCTTCTCTGCTGACTCAGCCCTACTGAGATCCAGGGTAACTGCACTGTCAGTCCTCAGCTTTGGTTTACCTGGGTGTGGGGCCCAAAGGGCTAGACCCTCGCATGGGTCAGGCACTGGCAAGTTCCCACGGTGCTGCCAGCCCTGTTCATAGGGGTTGGGAGGGGCAGGGTAACCCACACCAGGCTTCAGGGCGTGTTTCTTCCCATTCCGGTTGGGCCACTTTAGAGACCTGGGAGTCCCAAGGAGCAATCCTGTGTGGGCTACTGAGAGGGGTTGAGAGGGAACCCCCTGGTCTCTGTTCATCCTGTGGTTACCACCAGCACCCCTAACTCAGGTTTCTGGGCTGAGAGGCCCTTCTCAGCACACTCTATGGGCTTGGACAGCTGGAATGTTTGGAATTCCCTATATCTGGGATGGAAGTCTTTAACCGGATGGAACCAGCTGCAACAGTATGTCAGAACTTTACAGAGCACCACCGCATCTAACATGCCCCGTTTGAAATTCCACATCCAAACAAATCACACTGAGTGTCCAGCACAGGATCTGACATACTAATGTTAAATGCTAGTTCCTTTTTTCTCTTCCCAAGCACAAAGGGGTGATAGTGTGAAGGACTGGACATACTTGTCTACTTGTCTACATTCTGTCTTTTCTCCAACCTTTGCCTGACCTGATGTGAATAGGACAAGGCCACCAGCCAGAAGTAACTCACAGTCTACTAGGCACATCAGCCCTGTGAAGTAGGAGGCATTGTCGTTTTTCAGATGGAGAAATTGAGACTCAGAAAGGCTAATCAGCCCAAATCACATAGATAATAACAGCAGAGCTGGGACTAGAATGGCAATCGTCGTGCCTGCCTTTGATCCTCCCGGAACACCAGGCTGACTTCTCAAAGCTGAGGAGAGGACTAGAGGCCCCACCTCAGATCTACCAGCGGCCCCTTTACCTGACAACATTCATCCACTGACTCCCCTCTAGGGCTAGTGGCTTTAAACTTTGCAGTCTCCAGTGGTTTTGTTTACATAGTAACAGCAACAAAAATGTCACAAAACAATGCTTACCCTGTA